ACCGGCTGAGGGCTGCCAACCGACCGGTCAATTGCTGGACTTCCCGAACGGTGGAAGGTGGCTGCATGTCCAGAATCGCTTTTACTTTGGCCGGGTTAGGCTCGATTCCTCTCTTGGTCATCATATAGCCGAGGAACTTGCCGGTCTGAACCGCGAATGTGCACTTGGTCGGGTTCAGTCGCAACTGGTACTTCCTCATGATCTGGAAGCACTCGCGAAGGTCCCGAGTGTGATCGGATCGGTCCCGACTCTTGACCAGCATGTCGTCGATGTAAGCTTCCATCGTTCGGCTCAGTAGATCGGCAAAGAGCATGTTGACCATCCTTTGGTAGGTCGCTCCTGCATTTCGGAGGCCGAACGGCATCACTCGGTAACAATACAGCCCATCCGGTGTCACGAAGGCTGTCTTGCTCTCGTCTTCATGGTGCATCATGATCTGATGGTATCCCTTAAAGGCATCCATGAAGCTCATTAACTCGGCCCCGGCCGTCTCGTCGACCATCTGATGAATGCTCGGTAGAGGATACGGGTCGAGCGGACATGCTTTGTTGAGGTCCGTGAAGTCGATGCACATCCTCCATGCTGGGGGCTTAGGAACAAGAACGATATTTGCCACCCACTCAGGATAGACCACCGGACGGATGTGCTCGATCGCCGCCATCTTTTTGACTTCTTCCCTTACAAACTCGCGGCGATCGGAAGAGAGGTGTCGTGTTTTCTGCACGACCGGCTTAGCTGCGGGATCGACGGCCAATTTGTGACAAATGACCGACCGATCGATCCCGGGCATATCTTCAGGCCCCCATGCAAAGATATCGGCATACTCCCGGAGCACGGCCAGAACTTCCGCTCGAATCTCGGGGGTGAGGGCTCGTCCGATCTTTATCTTCCTGTCCGGGCGGTCCTCGGACAGGGGAACTTCTTCAATTTCTTCGGAAGGTTCAGGCTGCTCCTTCCGTTCCTTAGCCTCCTCTTTGGCTATGGTGTTCACCCGGGAAGATGGACCGGAGTCACGTCTATTGACCGCTCGGGTGTAACACTTCCGGGCGGACTGGACATCGCCACGGACCACGCCGACCCCGTTGGGGGTGGGGAATTTCATGCACAGGTGGGGCATAGAAATTATCCCACCGATCTTCATAATGGCGGGTCGGCCCAAGATAATGTTGTGGACGCAATGGAGGTTGACCACAACAAATTCCAGCTCCGTTTGGATCGACTTTGGAGGCGTGCCGATCTCGACCGGGAGCGTTACTTTTCCCTCGGGGTAGATAAGAGCCCCGGTAAACCCTGACAGTGGTACACCGACCGGAGTCAGCTCCTTCCTGTCGAGGCCAAGCTTTTCAAACACGTCCAAGTATAGGACGTTCACACTGCTGCCCGTGTCGACCATAACCCTCTGGACGTCTGTCCCCTTAACGTCAATCGTGACCACGAGCGCCTCCATGCCGTGATCACTGCTGGTAGGTTGGTCCTCAAGGGTGAAGGTTATGGGTTCCATCTTCTGCCTCTTCCCAGTTCCGCGGGAATCTACTATTGCGACCGGGCAATTAGCCCGCGGTCGGGAAGCATCTTCCAGCCCACCGAAAATGACGTGGATGGTAGGCTTTCCGGACGGGCGGCTGCCGGACGGAGGGTCGGGGTCCCGTCGGTCGTCATAACGATCATCCCTTCTGTCTTGCCCAGATCGATCGGAGCGGTGATGGGAACGTCTATGATCCCTCCGATCGGTGTTCCTTTTGTTTTCCTCTCTCTTCCCCACACACTTGTCCAATTTTCCCCTGTTAAGCAGATCTTCCAACAATTGGCGCAAGTGGGTACACTCCTCCGTGTCATGCCCAGCACATCGATGGTAAGCACAGTGCTTACTCTTGTCAGGGCCGTCTCGATCGGGATGGGGGAGCTTGATGAGATTGCAGGACTGGGCGTATTGCATGGCCTCCGCTGCGGACCGGTTCAAGGCCGTAAATTCTCCAGGCCTGGTGCGGGATCGGGGGTTGTCATCTCCCGACCTATGTTCCGCCCGCCCGGCCGGTTTACGGGACGAAGAGCCGACCTCCTGCAAACGCTTGACGGCATTCGCCTCGCCGGCGTTGGCATAGTCTGTGACCCTCCGAAGGGCCTCCTCGTAAGTGGTCGGGGGGTGTAGGATGAAGTCCTGATACAAATGTCCCGCCCGGAGAGATATGTGAAGCATGTGGGTGGCGGTCGCATCGTCCATAGGCTCGACCTCCCCAACCGCCGCTTTCCATTTGATGAGGAAATCGGTCAAGCTCTCCCCTTCCAGCTGCTTGGCCTTCTCGAGATACATGTAGGACTTCCTCACCACTTTGGAAGTGATGAACTTCCTCACAAATTTGATCGCCAGGGTCTCAAATTTGTCGATCGACCCCGGTGGCAGGGTACGGAACCACTCTGCTGCCCGACCGGTGAGGGTCGAGTAAAAGGCTCTGCACATCACGGCGTCCGAAACGCCCTTCAGCATCATGTTGCTGAAAAAATCATTCACGTGGGCCTCAGGATCTGCCCGTCCGTCATAACTCTTCTCTCCAGAGACCTTTAAGTCGAGCGGGTAAGGCTGGGCCATTACCGCTGCTGTGAAAGGCGTCTGGTGCAGGGTTGATTGGTTGACCGGGGGCGTTCCAGGGTACGCATTCCTGAGCTGCGCAACTTCCGCCTGAAGGTTATAAAGTAATCCTCGGGTTTCGTTGAGCTCGGCGGCTTGAGCGGCTTGGGCTGTATCCCGAGCGCGTCGCCGACGGTGAGATCTCGACCCGCTATACCCGGATGAAGCCTCGTGGGTAACTTCCTGCATTTGTACGTCTTCTTGCCCGCGGTCCGGGTCTTGGGGTCCCAAACGCTGGCGCATCTCCGGTCGAAGACGATCATAAGCTACCGCTCGGGCAACTTCTCCAGGATCCTCCGCTAGAACGGCCGGGGCTGGTGCCTCCATCGCGTCAGCACCCCCCGACCCCAACCGCGAATGAGCCGAGCGTCGAGCCCGGGATGCGGACTGACGCTGCGGCTCTACTTGTGCGGTCGGTTGTACTGGAGGGGCGGCGGCTGGAGCTGTATAAGCTGGCGTATACGGTGGATACGCAACCGGGGAAGTGTAGCACATCGGTTGGCCTGGCCAATACCCATACGGTAGAGGTGGGACCGGGTACGGATACTGGGCGGGATACATCATCGGCTGCTGCTGGTATGGCAGACCAGGTGGTGGGTATCCCGGTTGTATGTAATTCACCGACTGCTGGGCGGCCGGGTATGTATTTGACGGATGCGGTGGTGAGAGGTTGAGGTTGAGGTCCATCGTCTGACCCTGCTGTTGGGTAGCATAGTGGTCGGAGGAGCTCGCCGCGTCCGCCTGGTCGTCGGCAAAGTTGTTGTGTGCCCACGGATACATGTCGATATGGTGATCGGGTGCTCGTCAAGACGTTGGTTTCTTGCACGGGTCCCCACAGACGGCGCCAAAATGATACTGCTAATTCTACGTAAGCAATATATAACAACACGAGACCAATCAAAGCAAGTAAATATCTTTATTGATCACGGTAAAAGCCCTAAGTACAATCTACTTGGTTGCTCTGAGTACCGACTGACTGCGGTCGGGATTCTCTAACAACAACCTATCGATCGTCCAAAAGTCCCTTACACTGTAGCTACTGTGGGTATTTATAGCCGCTATGCCGGGGACAAGATTCCAGCCGTTCGGCATGTCCTCCACGTAGCCACCACGTGTCATCCTCCCGGGTGCCCTGCCTGTCGATGTAAAGAGCCGCCACGTGTCCTTCGTCAGCTCTTTCGCCAAAGGGCTACCGCTCGGTGGCCGACACCGTCGCTCGGGCAACTCCCGGTCGGTATACGACCGGGTTCTTCTCGAGGAGCCCGACCTGTTGCCTGCAAAGACAAGGAAAAAGAGACAAAGGCTCCTTGGTCGTGGTGAAGCTATGTCGGTCGGGATATTCCCTACCAGTGTTATTGGATCAATTTATCAGGCGGTATTGGTGGTGAATAGTACAAGTTTCAAGTTATCTCTGCAGATTCAAGACTTGAGACATCATCTGTGTCATTGGGGAACAAAATGATTTTGTCATGCTCAATTAATTAGCTCCTAATTATTAAGAGATAGAAGTGATTTGGGATCAAACTTATGAGTTTTAACACTAATTGTAGATTTTTTTATTTCTTAAGTAGCTAGGTCAAAAATAAATATTGGACCCTCTAAAAACTGAGGTCATGTGTTGTTGTCCACCTTGCACGGCCTAAAATCCGGTCATGAACATGGTCTACACAGTGGTGTGTGGACCATAACAAAAGATATATTTTTAATTAACTAAAAATACATTATTTGTGTACTGAATGTACATTATACAAAATAATGTACTTCCAGTACTCAAGTAATGTACTTTTCCTGAATACAATGTACATTTTTAATATACTAAAAATACATTATTTGTATACTGAATATACATTATTTGATAGTATATGGTCCACACAATTGTATGAACCATGCTCCATACAATAATGATCTTAAATTTAAATAATTCACATAATTGTCTTGTAGTAAATTTAAAAGAGTAGACGTGGAATGAATTTGATAACCATGTGAGAAAACTAACTCAAGGGAACTAAAAATGGAAAAATACTCCTTTCAAATTTACATCTTCGTTACTTCTTTTTATTTATTTATTTTTTAGAAAATGGAAAAGTTTCCCATTTGAAAAACACTCTACAAGGTACAAACGAAGAAAGGAGAAAAATACCAAAATCATGGATAACCAATTTTAACCAAGAAATCAAGAATTTTAAGTTCATTTTCAAAAAAAAAAAAAAAAAAAAGAAGTTCATTTTCATTACACCATGCCCTCCCAGCAACTTTTGGATTTTAAAAAAAAAAAAAAAAACACTATTTCCCCCTTGAAAAATGACTTGGTTTACAAGCACAAAAACTTGGATGATATGAAGGTCATAAAGTGTAAATACCAAATTACTCAGGCTTTGAAAGAAGTGGAAATGCTGAATTAAAGTGTCAAGGATGCATTATGACATGTGAAAAATACATACATTAAATGCAGCATACACATGACATATATGTATATTTAAAGGACACCCGAAACTACAGCATGCTTCACTCTAACCAGTTACAATGCTAACTGGGGTTTACAATAAACATTTACCCGTTGTGCAAAGCCCTGTCTGAACTGAAAGAAATAGCGCTTGCTGTCAGACAAGGCATTATCGGATGGTCAGCTCGGCCCGAAGATGAAGAATTCCGTTCATGAAGTAATGGCTATCGTCACCAACAAATGCAGTCCAAGGTATACCAAACAGGTTCCTATAGCCAACGGCCTTCCCACCAGTGAACGTGTAGTTCCCCTTATACTTGCTCACGTATTCCTCGGTTGGCTTAGTCCTAGCCGCAAACTCATAGTCGACTGCAAATGATACCGATCCTTTCTCTTGCATGCCCAAGAAAAGACCAAAGCAGTGGAATGAACTCTGTTGATCCATGTTGCAATGGGCTGACAGAAAGAATCCCTGCCCGCCTAAATGGAAGGCCTGTGAATATACTCTACCAGCAGGAAACAGATTCAAGCATTCTTCCCGTTTTAAATCTAGGTAAACGATACACTGTGGACGAGGCAACTCAAACTCGACAACTTTTACTGGTCTGTACTTGTATGCCCGCTCCACAAAGCGACGGAATGAGATGTTGGCTTCGTCAGCAGCTAAGGAACGTTGCCGATATGGTGCTTCAGCTTTGAAAAAGAGAGCCTCGAGTACGACTTTTGAGGCAAGTTCAGGATCGAAGTCATTGCAACTTAGAACTTTCTTCAGCTTTCTGCATGTCATGAATGGGAACCTAATGAGGCGACAAAGACGTGAGCCTAATATTTCACGCCTTTCCTCCAACTTTGGGTAATGGATTCGGGCCCACTTCAATACAAAGTCATAGACAGCATCCTCTGAAGCAATTTGAAGGTCATCACTAGACAGAATTGCCTCAATTCCTGCAAGAGGCAAGTTCAGTACCTCCTCTTGGAACCTGAGAAAAGATTAGAGAATTCAATTATGATTAGGAGACCAAGTTTGCTCCCTAAAAGGGAGAGAAACAAACTCCGGCTAGGTTTCTTAACACAACTGGTCCCAAGCTGGGAGAAAGCAAGGGAGTTGTAGCACAGAACTTAACCAAATCTCATGGCAATGATTTGACATATAATCTAGATGGTGAGAAAAGTATAAAATTCCTTGAAAGAGAAACTCACTTGGTTATATCCTTGAAACGAGCAGCAAGAAACTTCTTAGCTGCATCAGTTAGAGGCTGAACTGCTTCAGCCATTAAAACACTAGAAGGAAGGTCCAAATAGAGCAAGGCTGATTCACAAGTCATGGGTAGATCTCGCAGTAATCTGCTGCAGTATCTCATGCATGATGCAACCTCAAATTTATCAGCAGCCATCAGCACATCAAGCAATGCAGAAGGAGTTGTTGTTGATAAAGTATTGCTATACATAAAACTCAACAGGTCCATGAGGGCAGCTTCTTCTGCTCCAATTATAACACAGTAAGTTTATGTTGCATAGTATTGCATACAAGAAGGAAATAATAACAACAAATGATGCTGCAATAAAAGGCCAAGATCAGTGAAAAAGAATGAACTATATCATTTATGGGCTAATGTCCAAGCACCAAAGTCGTGTACTTGTCAAACAGACATGAATATGGATTGATCCCGTCTTTATTCACAGAGGAATAGGTTATGGAAGCAAAAGTACTACTACAACTACTAAAGAACACCCCTCCATACCAAATTGGTTGTCCTATCTAATGTAGGAATATATTTTAAGTATAGTAGAAAAGTACATTTTTCCTCTTTCTGCCCATAAAAAGTGGATAACTTTTTGACATTTTACTTTTATTAGAATGGTATGATAGGAAAGTAGAATTATTTTAGATGTTTATTTGAGGAAGTAGACAATATTTGAAATGTAATAAAAAGGAAATGTGAACAATGAATTTGACAGAAACAAAATAAAAATGCCAGTGAATATTCCTTGCTTACCAGAGGCATGGATCCGTAAAGTAACATGCCGCTGCTCAGACTCTCTCATTCCATTAGAGAACAACTACAAATAATGAAAAGTACAGTTAACAAGAAAGGGATGACATGAAGTACTACAAGGCAAGAAAAAACATGATAAGGAGAAATACAAGAACAAGGCAATATATAAATGTAGCAGAGCCGCATGGAAAATCCCAAACCTTATAAAAGAATGGACTCTTTGCTGCCAAGATTGGAGAACTAATGTGTATGGTTTTAACTCTAAGGACATTCGAACAGTCCATATTTGATGATGAGTCATTGCCCTCAGCAGCTTCCTCATCTACAAAATCCTCTAAATTAGTAATAGAGCTATGCAACCAACTAATAGAGGGAATACTCTAGGATTAAATTTTCATTATTTATTTGTTATTTTATTTGCATAATGAGACAATTAGCATAGTGGTCGAATTAAAATGGAACAGTTAATTCTTGCTCTTGATCTTTGATATTTATTATAGGGAAAAGGGTCAAATAAGCCCTTGAACATTGTAGGATAAAGCAATTAGACCCCTGAACATTTAAACATTGCAATTAAACCATCAAACTCATTAAAATCAATCAAATAGATCCAATTTACCGGTAACCAACAGGTTATCGGTAAATCTACACCGTTGACCGCCCTCCAAATCCACTACCAATGACCGGATTGATTGCCATCTCAGGAGAGGCGACCAAAACTGGTCGGCTTCTACGGAGAGGCGACCAAAATGGCAACCAGGTTTTGGTCGCGCATCTCCGGAGAGGCAACCAAATCTGGTCGCCTTCTCCAGGAGAAAGCGACCAGAACCTGGTCGCCTTGTCTCCTGGAGATGACGACCAAATCTTGTCGCCACCTCTGCAGTCTGGAGAGGCAACCAAACCTGGTCGCCATCTCCGGAGAAGAAGGCGACCAGGTTCTGGTCGCCTTAACTCCTGGAGATGGCGACCTGGTCGCCTTCTCTCCTAGAGATGGCGACCAGAACCTGGTCGCCATCTCCAGGAGAGAAGGCAACCAGGTTCTGGTTGCCTTCTCCGGAGATGGTCGCCTCTCCGGAGGGCGACCAATCCGGTCATCAGCGGTGGATTTTGGCGGCGGTCAACGGCAATAAGTGGTCAACGGTGTAGATTTATCAGTAACCTGTTGGTTACCGGTAAACTGGATATATTTGACCCATTTTAATGAGTTTGATGGTTTAATTGCAACGTTTAAATGTTCAGGGGTTTAATTGTTGTATCCTACAAAGTTCAAGGGCCTATTTGACCATTTTCCCTTTTTTATATTATAACGAAGAAATTGGAATCTTTCATTCAGTCAAACTTGATCCTTTAAGAGAAAACCAGTCAAGCTCTTGATTTAAAGTGATGCAAAGAACACAAAATTAAATGAAGTCCACACAAGAAAGTGAATTGTTACCAGGGTGATCTGCCATATCTCCAGTGCCAGATGGTGTTTCCTCGACCATTGCTACAGCTTCCTCATCTAGATTCTCATATACAGGGCCATCTTCGGTATCCAACATGTTGCAGTTCAAGACCTGCTCCTCACAATGCGAGACGACATCCACAGCTGACAAGGAAAAACAATATGGGTCATTTAGGTGAAATGTATCAAGGAATAAGCGAAAAGGACAAAATGCTAACTAAGAAACTCACACGAAACCTTATATAAAAGAGACAAACAGTGTTTAATGATAGGTGTGAAATTAGCTATGCTTTTCCAGATGAGCCACAAATGGCATCTACCTTTCTAAGTGAGTGAGAGATTAGAGAATCTTTTCACACTACCAATGCTTGCCATTAGTCAAGAAAAACAACAAACTGAAGATTGTCTCCCTTATCAGGCAACAAATTAACGAATTATCTTTTCCATTAGTGACAGTATATCTACTGATTGGCAATAAACCAGGGTGCCATAGGTATATCACTACAACGAAAGGTACTTCTTAAGCAACCTTGATTAGCAGGTAGTCTTGACTGCCAAGTGCCAACACTCATAAGCAGCAAATAGATCAGCAACACGACATTGGTTAATAGGAAACACTGAAGTATTATTTCCATCAAATAGTCATTTCCTAAAACCTAGAATTCCAATGTGCATCTCCATAATCTCATATTCAGGGAGCAGAGAATTTCACCTGATCCTCTCCCTCAACCTCCGCAACCGCCAGCACCCTAAAACCCAGGGACCGACAAGTAAAGTACCCAAAAACTACAACCTATGTTCTCCGACGATAAAGTCACCAATCTTAACGTAAAGCTTAGATAATTAAACGACAGAAACTCTAATTAATTTCACATAAAATCTTCTCAAGCAGCAACTCGTTTCAGGTTTAAAGCATAAAAAATGTTCAAATTCGATCCTCAATTTGCAAAATTCGCATTAATTTACCGGAATATGTACATGAAATTTGAATGTTTTATCATGCACACTGAAAATAAACACAAAAAAGCGTACCATTCTCCTTCATGATTTCTTCTCGGCGGCGCTTGCGTTTGCGGGCCCAATCAACGATGCTGCTGCAGCCCTCGCCGTCGGATTTGGAGTCCGGCAAGTCAGGCAGGACCTCAATCCTTAGGATCCGGTCGGAGAAATTGCTGTCGTTGAAGGCGAACGCGAAGTCGGATTCGGAGCCCGACCCGTGGTGATCGGCAGGAGAGGAATCCGAGTCCATCACCGTGCGTGGATCAAAAAGGTCCACGTTCTGGTTTTTCATATGAAGAAACCAAATCACCAAAAAAAAATAAAAAAATTATAATTAAACAACGAATTATTGCAGGAAAAATTAAGGAAGAAGACGAAGAAGAATGGTTGGAGAAGGTCCGGAGAGGATCAGTTGGGCAATATGTTTTGTTTTGTTCTGTGTATTTTCTGTACAATAATAATAATTAGGGATTTTCTAAATATATCAACAAAAAGAAGATAAAACGAAAAAAGGATTACTTTTATTTACCTTTGAAGGAGATAAAGGAGAAGAAGAAGAAATGGTTATGAAATTTGCAATCGCTTCTTCTCAGATCAAAATACATGACAATTCCATTCTTATATTGTTTTACCATTTTTTTTTAAAATTCTTTTTACCTTTCACATATTTTATTAATAGTATTTAATATTTTTATGTGGTATTTAATTTTAAAATAATTTATTTTAAAACATTTTCATATATAAAAGGAAACTAACGTAAAAAAGTTAGGAGTTGTATTCAATTAAAATTGTTATAGACTTTCAACAATTTTAAAAGCGGTGAATTTGAAATGACTTTCATATAATCTTTATAGACTTTCACAAACATTGTATGGGTTTATAAAAGTTGGTATGACTAACATTTATAAACTTTTAAAAACATTTTAATATTAAAAAATTTACAAAAATTATTAAAATTTTAAATTAAATACACCTTTCAAATGGCGTCTATAATCTACTTGTTGCCTTCAATTTGGAAGGACTTCAAAAATTACCTTAAGCATAAGCGAAAGAAGATGAAACTGGAGCAGTTGATCCTCTGGCTCTGGATTGAGGAGGGCAAAAGAATAATGATGGGAAGGGTACCGTCGCTAGTGGCGCTAAGGCCAATGTTGTGGAACACGGTAAAAGCTCCAAGAGTGCTAAGAAGGACAAGTGAATGCTTGGTCCGAAGGGAGGCGTTGCAAATACCAAGTTTCACGATAAATGCTTCAATTGTGGCAAATTGATTTGCAAGGCTCCTAGGAAGAAGAACAAGAGTTCTAAGGTTAATGTAGTTGGGGAAAGCAGTTAGAGGGAGGCCGAGATAAGCCTTTTGGCCATGGTGATTGAGGTGAACCTTGTGGGCTCCAACCAGTATGAGTAGTTCATCGACACCGGTGCAACACGGCATCTCTGTTGCACCCGTGATATGTTTAGAACTTTCCAGATTGTTGAGGGCGAGAAGGTGTGGATGGAAACTATGCTCAGTCTGATGTGGAAGGCATGGGCAAGGTAGTTCTAAAGATGACTTTTGAGAAGGAACTGATGTTGAACAACGTGTTGTATGTTCCGGAGCTGTAGAAGAATCTAGTGTTTGGCTCGTTCTCAAACAAGCATGGATTCAGGATAGTCTTCGAGTTAGACAAAGTAGTTTTTTTCAAAACTAGGAATGTTTGTTGGGAAAAGTTATGTACTAAGTGGGCTTTCAAACTCAATGTAATGACCATTATCAATAAAAGAATTAATTCTGTTACTTGCTTGAGTCTTCTAATTTGTGTCATGGTAGACTAGGGCATGTTCATTTAACTCTATCTATAGATTAATAAGCATGAACCACATTCTTACATTCCAAATTAACGCAAATAACACGTGTGAAATTTTTGTTGAGGCAAAACTAACTAAAGCACCTTTTAAATCGGTTGTAAAGCAAACTGAACCACTTGATTTGATCCATAGTGATTTGTGCGATTTTAAACCGACACAAACAAGAGGTGGTAATAAATATTTTATCACATTTATCGATGATAGCACACTTAACTACTATGTTTATTTGCTAAAAAGCAAAGACAAAGCAATCGAAAAATTCATTCTTTATAAGAATGAAGTTGAGAACCAACTTAATCATAAGGTTAGAAGAGATGGAGATGGTGAGTACGAAACACCTATTGGTGATTTCTATGCTAGCGTTAGTATCATATACGAGTGTACGACACCTTATGCACATTAATCGATTGGTGTTGTCGAACGTAAAAATCGCACGTTGAAAGACATGATGAATGTGATGTTAATAAGTTCGGGTCTACCTCAAAATATGTAGGGTGATGCGATTTTGACAAGTAATTACCTTTTGAATAAGGTACTCTGCAAGAAGCTCGATACGACTGCTTATAAGATGTGGAAAGATAGGAAGTAGGAAGATGAAGTGAAGATCAGTAGATGAAGTAGGAAGAACGAAGCAGTAGATCAACAGATGAAGTAGCAAAATATTAATTAAATCTGCAAAGTAAAGAAAATCAACTGACGATAAGCCAGTGTCGAAGGAAGAACAACTGATCTTGAAGTAGCCAAAACTCAACCCAATGCGAAGAAGTTAAGGAAGAACAACTCACTAAGAAGAAGACCAGTTGAAAGTGGAGTAGTAAACCTAAAGGCAACTAATCAGTTGAGGATTACTAGTGAAACAACTATCAAAATAGAAGAAAATTTTAGATCAAGACAAAGAGCAGCACACCCATTTTGAATTGATGCAGCACTTGAGGAGAAGGACAAGGTTGTTACACAAAAAAAGACAATGACGTAAACCTGCACAACCATGGAGTTTTTTTACAACATGAGCACCTATCAAAATGGGGTGTAATGGGCATATTCCAATCAAGGTTGTTTTACCAACCTGCCGACATATCTATCCTATAAATAGAGGGCTCCGAAGCTCAGAAAAAAAGATGAGAAAATACAAAGAATAAGAGAGAAGTAATCAGAGAAAAGGAGTTACAAGAAAGGTGACAAGTTTAATTTACAAGCTATTGTGATGAAAATCTAAAGGAAGAACAAGCGCATCAATGCCATATCCAGTATCTTTTAACCTTTTAATAAAAAACATCTGAAAAACAAACAACCTCCATTCCAATTTTACTATCATGGTGTAGATCTTGCTTGAGGTGACTTGGTGTACGATCCTTGGAGTGAAGATCAGATGTTGAAGATTTGGGGGGGCAATCATAGTACTTTGTGGATAATCTGTGATTGGACCATTTTGTATTTTGGGGATAAAAATGCTTAGTGAAACCTCCTTGGACTTTAAGGAACAGAGAGGAGGTAGGCAGAGTTGGCGAACCACTTAAAAATTCTCTCTTGCATTTACTTTACAATTCATTTATCATTTTTCATTCAGCTGACTTCCCCATAGAATCAATTGATCGCACACACTACACATTTCAAATCGTCTGTGTCTCAAAACTTCGCTACATATGATAATTTATTTCGTAGCGCACTAATAAGCTAACCAGCCGATTACACTTTATTTTAAAAACCAGCTCTTAAACTGAAATTTTTGAAAATCTGTGAAAGTCTATTCAACAGCCCTTCCAGACTTAATGTCTTTCTACTACTTTCAGGACCAATAGAGTTTCACTATCGGGACGTACATAAGAACATGATAATAGAATTGAGAAATCCATCATTCTTCGAAGATTTATTTCCGTGTAGGTCCAATGAGTGACCTAGTACGTTAAAACGGACGTTCAACGTAACTATGGATAATAAAAGTTGGGAATATGAAAAAGAATCCGAGCTCAAGCCTAGACATAGCAAACATGCTAGAGTTGATAAATCATTTGGTCCATATTTTATAAATTACTTGTTAGAGTATGATTCTAGTACTCTTACTTGTTTATTAGAAAATGAACTGGATTATTTAACATATTTGTTAGAAAACAAACCTTTGAACGTACGCAACAACCATGACTTTTACGGAATGACCAATGTGGACAGATGCCATTAAAAGTGAAGTAGTTCTATCCTACTGAGTCATACTTGGCAACTGGTTGATCTTTCTCCGGCTAGTAAACCCTTGTGATCCAAATTGATATATTAAAGGAAGATGAATAAAGATTATTCCATTAAGAATTATAAGGCTAGACTTGTAATTAAAGGTTACAGTCAACGCGATGACTTTGATTACTTTCATATGTATTCTTCTGTGATGAGAATAAACTCCATTAGGATGATGCTTGATATAACCGCAATGTGAGACTTTGAAGTTCACCAAATGAACGTAAAAACCACTTTTTCAAATGACAAAATAGATGAAGAGATCTATATGGAACAACTTGAAGGGTTTGTCGTTTCGGGCCAAGAAAAGAAAGAGTGTAAATTGGTTAAATTGTTATATGTTTTAAAACAAGTGCCTAAGCAGTGACACAAGAAGTTTGACTATGATTTATTAACCAGTGGGTTTAAAATAAACGAGAGTGATAAGTGTGTCTACGTTAAGGAAACAATAGACGGTTATGTCATCCTCTGTTTATATGGGGATGATATACTCATTGTGGGTAGTACTGATCAAATCTACCAAGAACATGTTAAATTCAAAAGATTTGACATGAAGGACATGAATTTAGCGGATTTAATTCGGATGGTCTTATGTTGAGCCAATTTCACTATATTGATAAAATTCTTGCAAAGTTTAATAAGGATGACAATTAATTGGCTAGGATACCCTTTGATACAAACGTTCATCTATCCAAAAATCACGGAGAGTGTATTTCTCAAGTAGAATATCATTGAATTATTGGTAGTTTGATGTATCTAATGAGTTGTACTAGGCCGGATATTGTCTTTGCAGTTAGTAAACTCAGTACATATATGACTAACCTCGGTGATATGCACTGGAAGACAATGGTAAGGGTTATGGGATATACACCCCAGGTATACTCATGAACTTGGACTGCACTATACAAGATATCATATCGTACTTGAAGGGTATATCAACACAAATTAGATATATGATATTAAGAATTCTAAGTCCACAAGTGACTGCACGTTCACGTTAGCCTGTGCAACCATTTCATGGAAATCCTCAAAACAAACCATGATAGCTAGATCCACGATGGAATATGAGTTGATAGCTTTGGACAAGTGTTGCGAAGAGGCTGGATGGCTACACCATTTTCTCGAGGATATTCCCAATGGGTAAAACCTATACCTCCAATTTGTGTACATTGCGATAGTCAAGCCACAATTGACCAAAAAGCTGAGTTTTACTTCTTGGTTTGACCAAAAAATTAAGTGTGACTTTTCAGATGAACCTTCCGATGTCACCTTTTGGGTGTAATTTTTGGAGTACCGTTCTAGAATGTACTAACTATGATTTTCAAGAATTAATTTTGAATTAATTCAACTTTTAATTTTTAGAATTAATTTCCAAATT